CCTAGTTGTCATTAGTTAATTCCGTAAATATGTTTCGTTTTTAACATTTCATTGTGATATTTGATTTGCTAATTCGTATTTATGCTTCACGTTCATTATCAGAATTAAAAGAGAGTTTTTGTTTTAACATGTTGTGAACATGACTGCGTGTTGCGCCTATGTCGTACTCAATAAGGACTTGGAAAGAGAGAAAGAGAGAGAGAGAGAGAGAGAGAGAGAGAGAGAGAGAGAGAGAGAGAGAGAGAGAGAGAGAGAGAGAGAGAGAGAGAGAGAAAGAAAGAGAGAGAGACAGAGACAGAGAGAGGAGATGAGAGAAAAATAGAGAGAGAGATAGAGAGAGACAGAGAGAGAGAGAGAGAGAGAGAGAGAGAGAGAGAGAGGAAAAGAGAGAGAGAGGAAGAGAGATGAAAAGAGAGAGAGAGAGAGAGAGAGAGAGAGAGAGAGAGAGAGGAAAAGAGAGAGAGAGAGAGAGAGAGAGAGAGAGAGAGAGAGAGAGAGAGAGAGAGAGAGGAAAAGAGAGAGAGAGGAAAAGAAAGAGAGAGGAAAAGAGAGAGAGGGGAAAAGAGAGAGAGAGGGAGAGAGAGAGAGAAAAGAGAGAGAGAGAGAGAAAATCTACCCCGGGATTCCTTTAGGGAGAGGACTGGAATTATTACCCCCCCTAACCCCCCCCTTTCCCCCATCTATTCCTCCTTCCTCCTCTTCCCCCTCCCCCCTCCCCTCCCCCCTCCTCCCCTCCCCTCCCTCCCTCTCACCCCTCCCTCCCTTCCCCCTCCCCCTTCCCCCCCCCCCGACCCTTTCCTCTGATGGAATTAAATCTCCTGATTAATGATAGCAAATCCCTTGATGGAATGAAATTAAGATTAAGATGGCAAAGCGAGAGTAAATGATGGCAATTTCTTTTTTCTTTTTTTTTTGGGGGGGGGAGGGGGGGGAGAGTGGCCGTTTTTTTTTGGTGCGTTTTTTTGGCGCGTTTTTTCTTGTTTTGTTTTGGGAGGGGGTTTGTTTTTGGCGCGTTTTTTCTTGCCTCTTTTTAACAGTTTTTTTTTTTTTTTGATCGATTTCTCTCGCTTTTGGTCTTTTTTCGCTTTTGTGTCGTTTTCTCGCTTAAGGTCTTTTTTTTGGCCGTCATCTCGCTTTTTGGTCGTTTTCTCACTTTTGGACTGTTTTTTTTCTGTTTTGCTGTTTTTGCCGTTTTTCCTCGCCTTTTCACCATTTTACTTGTTTTGTTTTTTTGGTTCGTTTTTATTTTTCTTGCTTTTATTTTTTGGCCGTTCTTTTTTCGATTTTTTTTTTGGGGGGGGGGAGTATGCAAAGACGTATGGATGGGAGAAGAAGAGCAGGAAAGGGAGTAAGAGGAGATAATAAGGGAGGAAGAGGAGGAATATGGAAGAGAGAAAGGAGGAAATGAGAAAGAAGAAAAAAAGGAAGAGGAAGAGGAGGAATATGGAAGAAAGAAGGGAGGAAAGGAGAAAGAAGAGAGAAGGAGGAGGGAAGTGAAGGAGAAGAAAAGCTAGGAAGAGAGGAGGTGGAGAGAAGAAGGGTGGAAGAGGAGGAGAAGAAAAGAAGGGAAGAGAGGAAGAGGAGAGAAGGAGGGAGGAAGTGAAAGAAAGGGAAGAAGGAAAGGTAGGAAGAGAAGGAGAAGAAAAGAAGGAAAGGGAGGAGGAGGAGAGAAGGAGGGAGGAAGTGAAAGAAAGGGAAGAAGGAAAGGTAGGAAGAGAAGGAGAAGAAAAGAAGGAAAGGGAGGAGGAGGAGAGAAGGAGGGAGGAAGTGGGGGAAGGTGGAGAAGGAAAGGGAGGAAGTGGGAAAAATAGAAGAAAATTGAAAGTGAAAAAGAAGAGAGGGAGAGAGAGAGAGAGAGAGAGAGAGAGAGAGAGAGAGAGAGAGAGAGAGAGAGAGAGAGAGAGAGAGAGAGAGAGAGAGAGAGAGAGAGAGAGAGAGAGACAGAGACAGAGAGAGAGAGAGAATGAAAATGATGAAGAAGGGAGGAAACGGAGGAAACTAAAGAAGAAGGAATAAATGAAGATAATAAAGAGAAGAAGAGAGGAAATGAACGAAAAGACAAGCTGAAAAAATGATGAAAAAGAAATTCATAAAATATGGAAATAGAAAGAACGAAAAGAAAAGGAAAACGAAAAGAACGAAAGAAAAAAAGAAAATGAAAAGAACGAAAGAAAAAAAAGGAAATTAAAAAGAACGGGATAAAAACAGAAAATAATTGAAGAAGGATAAAGGGAATTAGAAAGAAAGAAAGGACATAAACAAGAAAGAAATGAAGAGAATAAAAGAATAACGAAGAAAAGTAGAATTAAATGGGATAAATAAAGGAAGAAATGTAAGTAAAAAATATATAGGGAAAAGGGAGACGGAGAGAAATGAAAATAAAAAAGGTAAAGAATGGAAAAAGAAAAAGTGAAAGAACTGATTTTAAAAATCAGCGAAAGTGAGACACAAAGACAATAGTAGAAAATTAAACTCAGAAATTACAATATATTTCAAAGAAAAGAAAAAGAAACATACAAAGGGGAAGAAGAAAAAACAAAGAAAACAATATAAAGACAACAAATGTCAACAACATCGCCGCTAAAAATAAAAATAATAAAAAAACGAAATCATAACTGCAACAAAAAGAAAACAAGAGAACAAGAGCGATAATAACAACAATAATAACAAAAACAATAACAACAATAATAACGACGATGATAACAATAATAACATCGACAAAACAATAATAATATTAACAACAATAACAACGACGATGATAACAACAGCAATATTAATAACAACGAGGGAAAAAAACATTAACAGCAACAACGACGACGTCAACAACAAAAACAAAAACAACAGCAAAAACAACAACTAATCACCACATTTAAAACAAAATTACATAACTCCATTTCACAAGACAGACAGGACGGGGTCACAGCTGGAACAAGTCGACCAGCTTTAATAACATCTTCCGGACTAAGAGAGGCAAGTCAGGTCACACACAAGTCGGGTCACAGAGCAAGTCAGGTCACATTGAGAGTGTGAGTTGGGTCGAAATGGATAGGGTGGGGGGGAGAGAGAGAGAGAGAGAGAGAGAGAGAGAGAGAGAGAGAGAGAGAGAGAGAGAGAGAGAGAGAGAGAGAGAGAGAGAGAGAGAGAGAGAGAAAGGGGGTGGGGGGGAGAGATAGGGTAAGAGAGAGACAAATGGACAGGAAAAGAGAGAGAGATTAAGTTTGTGTCCGTTTGTAGATGTGTGTATGTATGTATGGGTTTATACATGTATGTGTATATGTATGTAACATATACATACATATACTCTCTCTCTCTCTCTCTCTCTCTCTCTCTCTCTCTCTCTCTCTCTCTCTCTCTCTCTCTCTCTCTCTCTCTCTCTCTCTCTCTCTCTCTCTCTCTCTCTCTCTCTCTCTCACCCTCTCCCTCCCTCCCTCCCTCCCTCTCTCTCTCTCTCTCTCTCTCTCTCTCTCTCTCTCTCTCTCTCTCTCTCTAATAAATATAAAATGATACATTTACAATGATTTTTTTAATCGTCTGGTTTAAATCTGTTTACGTAGGAAGGGATGAGAAATTGCTAAGATATTGTGTGTGTGTGTGTGTGTGTGTGTGTGTGTGTGTGTGTGTGTGTGTGTGTGTGTGTGTGTGTGTGTGTGTGTGTGTGTGTGTGTGTGTGTAGAGAGTGATAGATGTATAGATAGGTAGACAGGTTGGTAGATAGGTAGGCAGATAGATGGTTAGATAAATAGATAGATAAGCAGCTAAATAGATAGATAAATAGATGGAAAGATGAAGATAGATTTATCTATGTACTCCCAACATTCCCCACCAATTTTGACCCTAAAAGTACACTGTCATAAAGGTCGAAATCGCATGAGTCAAAAACCCAGGATTAAGGATAAATAAAAAAATGGGCGGAGCGAGGGCGGTGAAGGGATAAGGAAAGAAGGCGGCGCGGGTCTCATTTCCCGGTGATATTTATTTATTTATTTTTTTTGGATAACTTGTCATTACTTTGGCCTAAGTTTTTTGTATAAGGAAATTACCCCCCTCCCCCCCCCTGCCCAACCCACGCAAACGCATTCAGAAATCCTTTAATCTTTTTAAAGCTTCAATCTGTGAGAGCGGTGACTTCCACTCCCGTCTTCCCCTTCACCCCTCCCCCCCCACCCCCTCCCCTGCAAATGAACAGAAAGGCTGGCAAAATGAAACGTTTATTTTTTTTGTTTTGTTTTTTTGTTCTTTTTGTTTTCTTATTTCTTATTCTTTTTCTTTTCCTGTGTCTGTTTCTCCTCCTTCATTCTCTCTCCTTCTCTCTCTTCCTCTCTCTTTCTCTCTCCTTCTCTCTATCTCTGTCTCTTTCTGTCTCTCTCTCTCTCTCTCTCTCTCTCTCTCTCTCTCTCTCTCTCTCTCTCTCTCTCTCTCTCTCTCTCTCTCTCTCTCTCTCTCTCTCTCTCTCTCTTTCATTCTTTCTTTCTTAAGGAAACGGAGAGATAAATATCTTAACGTGTTTGACTCTTGAATTTTGATTCGTCAATTCAAAAGCCAGTTTCGGAAAATAGGAATTGCCTTTATGTCACAAACAACTGAAAAAAACAGAGCATATTGGACCTAACTCGCTGCCAGAGTGACTGCGTGTCTGTGTGCGCTTGCGAGAGAGAGAGAGAGAGAGAGAGAGAGAGAGAGAGAGAGAGAGAGAGAGAGAGAGAGAGAGAGAGAGAGAGAGAGAGAGAAGAGAGAGAGAGAGAGAGAGAGAGAGAGAGAGAGAGAGAGAGAGAGAGAGAGAGAGAGAGAGAGAGAGAGACTAGAGAGAGAGAGAGAGAGAGAGAGAGAGACTTAGAGAGAGAGAGAGAGAGAGAGACTTAGAGAGAGAGAGAGAGGGGGGAGAGACTTAGAGAGAGAGAGAGAGAGAGAGAGACTTAGAGAGAGAGAGAGAGAGACTAGAGAGAGAGAGAGAGATAGAGAGAGAGAGGAAGAGAGGGAGAGAGAGAGGGAGAGGGTGAGAG